TAACAACAAGCCATTATGCGATATATCATATAATGCCCACTATATGATACTACTCATATTTTAATATTATTTATTATTCAATACTTTCAGTATTCACATTAATGAATACTTTTCTCATATACTAAAACCACTGATCTGCCCTTATACCTGCTGTCTCAGTGGCCCGGGTGCCTCCTTACTTTATTTATTCTTAATAAATAATACTTTATTGTGCTTTCAGTGAAGGTTTAGGTTCCCATTCAACCGATTCTACACATGTTGTTTACTGAGGTTAGTGAGCTGGTGATATTAGATAAGTTCACTTCCTCTCTGCTGTGTGTCCATTACACACGTTCCTCTGGCCCTGGACAATGCTTTTAAAAAATGCATGAACATTTTCAACCTTTCCACCAGGATGAAAAACGACCGTAATAAAATGTTGAGTGACGACAACCACAGACAGTGCAGGAAGAGCAGATGGCTCTCTAGGACCCGTCAATGAAAAGATGAATCAACAACAGCGCGCCCTCGGTGAAATGCTTTATTAAACCAAATAATGAGGAATTAACTTACCAGTAGTAGATTTTTATCAGTGCTGAAGGCCACAGGAGAAATGAAGCTACAAAGGCCAAGATGGGAATGGCCAGGGTGCCACCCGCGATCACAAACATGTTCACCACGTCCAGATCCATCCTGCTCTCCGGGCTGGTGAGCTCCTGGGGGCTGAAGAGAACACAAGCCCTGACATGTTGCCCCAGGAGGGACGGGGGAGAGAAAGGGCAGAACCCGGGGTCAGGATGCGCTACGGAGGGAGACACACAAGCAAGTGCAAAGGATCCTTGAGTGGACCCCAGCTTTGGGGGTGGGGCCGGGGAGGACCTCAAGGGCATTACATTGCCAACACATAGAGGGAGATCCGAGCTGGGAGCGGGCATCAGATAATCCCGTATCGTGATGCCCGCCTTGATGGAATGGCGAGATGTTGGTTATGTAGAGGAATGCCCTTGTTCTTACGAGATGCTTACAGACGTCTTTAGGAGTCGAGTCTAATGATGCCTGTTACTTACTCACTTTTAAAACTTTCAGGTGGGAACAAAT